CCCAGACGCAACACGGCGACTTTCATACAACTAGACCCAAACCTTTAATAGCAGTAAACTTGACTAGCGCAACACGCAGCAACTCCTATGACTAAACGGCACCATATGATTCCCAGAACTCCACTCACACTGAAGTACACTAATAACCACAATCAGAAGAGACAGGAGACAGGCCCTAGACACGATAGGGGGCAACACAAAGTGATTCTGCAACTATCACCACACAAGCCCCATCCACTCACACCGAGGCCACGAGACACATCGCACACCCAAAAGCTAGTGAGACACAACTGGGGAACAGAACAGCTATCAGACATAGCCGCCACGGCCCACCCCCCTCCACCTACGGCTCCGCAGTACTCAGGGTGATCTCTTTAGACGGGTGCCCTTAACCCTAACAGTTCTACACCTCAATTCACTTGTTATAACATTGAGACCGAATGTACTTAGAAAAAATGTGTGACTAGAATCTTGCAAAATGCTTATGATAATGTCTGACGTATGGAGGCAATTGTGGCCTTGCACATGTACTCTTCATCGCACACGAAAAATAAAGAATAAAAAAAAAAAAAAAAAAAAGGAAAACATCCCAACCAAGCACAAAGCATTTAAGAATTCTAGATTGAAAATCTAAATCCATGAGGCATATTGGATTGGCTTGTCATCTTGGAGGCACGCCCCCAGAATCATACAACCAAAGGGAGAGTAGGCACTGGAGAAAAGGTGAGTAATTTGTTAGTTTTTTTTATTTATTTTTTTGTTTTGTTTTTTACATGGATATAGGGAAGTGGTGCGCGGGCGAAGGGGGTATTATAGACTGAATGGATGAGAGCATCAGGGCTGTAGTATTCTGAATAAGATATGTATTCCTAATGCTAAAGTGTTCCTTTAAGTCCCATATTTTTACTTTATTGCTAATAAAATGCTTTTTTGGAGAATGAACTTACAGTAGAGATCCATTTGCTCTGTGTGTAAATAAAAGAATCTCTGCATGTGCTACAACGTTGTGAACATTTCTTTTTTAGATTCTTCAGGAGCGAGGATCTCGAATGTGAAGTGAAGAATGGATTAACATCTGATTTAGAGTTCCTCTGGGCTGCAACCAAAACCCTTTCTGTTTGTTGAGCTCATGCGCTGTAATACTGACTTTTTCCTGTTACCCTCAGCAGGCCTTAACAGCCCCAGGTTCAAGGGAGGACTGTGTTTGGGCATACAGTTCAATGCCTGCTACTTATCCTCCCTTAGGCGGCCTGTGATTTGTGTTGTATGGGAGTGTCAAGTATGCTGTGGTTCAGTGGATAACCCCCCTTTGTTTGGGACCGTTTTTTTTTTTTTTCTGTGTGTCTTCTATCTATGGCCTGGTCTTAAAGAGTCAAGCATAATCTGTTCTCCACTTTCGACTTCTGCAAGCATATGAAGCTTCAAATTAAATGGGGAATCTTTGGACATTTCCTTTGGATTACATTCCTTTCTGACAGTTGCCAAACATCACTATTTCCTGTCTCAAGTACTGTTTACTGTGCAGTTATGTCTCCTGTCATGATTCCAAGGGAGACCCTTTGCCTGTGGCCTAATTTTCTGGAAATTTACTGCCCGATGGTTTCTCCGTAGGATTTGAAGAGGCGGAAAGTTAATTTACTTCAACCAGGGTCTTGGCTTAATACCACAGTAACAGAGAGCTACTCACCCCACCGTGGTTACTGTCCAGCTAATTTTGCTGGAGGGGACATTATCAAGGGCAGTTTTGTGTTGTCTGTGCATGTTTTCCTGTCCCTTAAACGTGAGTTTCAGTTTCCCGAGAGGGTGTTTTCTGTTTTTGGGCTACCTACCTCTGTCAAAATTTGCACTTTTATCACATGCAAACTTTCTAATAACACCTTGTTACAGTGCTAGGCAGAGATGTGGGTGATTGCTACTTTGAGTATATAAAATCCCAACACAAGAACTGTTTATTGCCAAAGTTGATGTGCTGTTGTTTTTTGTTTTTTTTTTTGCTTTTTGCCTTTTTCGATTTCTCACATGTTCAGTGATTATTCCAAACACACATGATTTGCTGTCTGACTGTAGGACACACTGGAAAAATTGTACTCCTTTTAATAAAGTATTATTAAAATAACATTAATGGACATTACAGGAACATTTTGGCATGAAATGGGAATTTAACGGGATCCAACTTCTATTATATTAAACTTATAAAATAAATGTCACTCTTAATCATTTCTATCACTTCTGTCAAGCATAGAACACTTTACATTGATTTTTTTACCATTTTAAAACTGATACATTTGAAAGCATCTCTGTTACAAAATGAGTAGGAACACAGAACTATAGTTCAACACCTTTTTGGAACAAATATTTAGATTTAAAACTCAGGGTCAGGCCCTTCTTGGTTGGAGTATCCCTTTTTACGAGACCTTATCCTCTTTACTTTTTTTATTTTCAACCTTCAGTTCTGCCTTTTGTATTTACCGAGATAAAGAATTATACATTTTTTTTTCCCCTCTTCATATTTCGTGACATAATTTGTTTTATTTTGTCAAATTTTTTTAATGAGAAGTGTTTGTGGAGAAAGATAAATTTTTCTTGAATATACAAATGCAATTTGCATAATTAAATGCATTTTTCATTTCAGTAGGCATGGATTGCATGTTTGTTTAATGAAAGCAAAATAGTATTTTTAAAACCTTTTTCTGTTGAGCCAAAATTTTTATATACTAAATAATGGAATTACATATAAGAAAATAGTGTTGTAAATAAAATTTCTGCATATGTAATATACATTCCACCCCCACTTGTTCTACAATCATATTTTCACATATACATTATCCCATATGCACTCAGTTGTGTGTGTATATGTATATATCATTTTTTTACCTTTATATTTGTTTTCCCATTTAATGATATTACCCATATCTCTCTCACATTACAGCCATGTTGCCTCTTTTGGAAGACACATGTACACACAAACACACTGATTCACAAAGCTATAGATACTCTCTGAGTGCGCATCTGTTTTTGCATATCTGTGTCTGTGAATCACACTGATCAGACGATCAGACTCCCTCCTTTTTGCCCTCTTAGGATATTGCAAGTGAAGAGTTCTTCCAACTGCACATGTGTAATCCTGTCAGGCAATGCCCATTGCACATTTCCGTGGGGGGAGGGAGACGTTGCTGCACACCGTAGCAGATAACAAAACTCAGATTTTATGGTAGTGGGAAATAGGTCTGTAAAATTACCCATAAAAATAAAATGTGCCTGAAAACCACAAAAATATACACATAGCCAGTATATTTTAAAAGTGCTTTGTGAGGGACTTCCTTTTACAAATATCTACTTTTATTTAGCAACTTTGGTTTGCATTTAGTTTTTGTCTTAGCAAACCAAATTTTGCAAATGTTTAACTTTTAAATACCTAAATCACAACTTGCAATAATAACTTCCAAAAATTAATAGAAATCCCAGACAGATTGGGCATTTTAACAACCAGGACTTAAAGGTGAATCTATCATGTTTGGTATCAGAAAAAAAAAAGCACCATCCGACAGTTAAAATTAATATATAACTTGCATACGTTCACTTCATGGTAATGTATGTTGGAAGAACACAGTGACAAATAGAACTTGGTAACAACCACATAGCATTTTGGAAAAGGCTTATTCACTAAAGAGTTAATATTTATAACTTTTACTGCACCAGAAAAGTATTTTCACCACTTTTATCTTGGTGTACAGAGGCAGTATACCTGTACAATGTAAAGAAAAGAAAGGAGGTTAGCGCTAATAATAAAAAGGTGGATGGGCAGCGGCCTAGCAGAGGGTAACCCTCTATAGTAAGAATGGAAAACAACAACAGTAATGCAAGGCTGCGCCAAAATGTATCATTGTGGACTACAGATAGTAAAAAGGCATATAAATAAGACTTATATAAAAGTGCAAAATAAAATATAGAAAATAGTCAAAAAAGATTTAGAAGTTGCACTGTGGCAACTTCTAAATCTTTTAAGGTGCTTTTGGTGATAGGGTCTCTTCTCTGTTTATAGTAGTCCAGTTGGTCTCGTGATATCGAAGACACAAGATAAGAGACCAATAGTATAGAGTTTAAGGGTCAATATATGTGAGGTAAAGATATAAATATTCCACTCACATTTAAATGAGCTATAGCCAGCTCAGGTAGAACAGGCATACAGCGGAACAATCCCCGCTTATGGGATATATGGATGATTGTCCTCTGGAGTGAATGGTGTCCAACTCTCAGGAAAAGGGATATGTAAAAACAACTAGTAGTGCTCACTGTTTAACACGGTGTAAAAGTTGTTTAAATAAATAAAAATGTACTTACAGGTATAGTGCAGGCCAACTGCACTATGGTAACAGCTTTGGTGTTATGATCCCCACCTCAGATAGGCTTCTAAGCACATGGTAAAATCAATTAGATGCCAGGTAAAAATAAAATAGTGTGTAAAAAGATAGTTGGCACAGATAGTAACCAAAAAATCTTTAATTATATAAAATACACAATTGATAAAACCATTTACGCGTTTCGCCAGTAGGGCTTTTTCAAAATGGCATAACAGTGTACAATTGTGTATTTTATATAATTAAAGATTTTTTGGTATAAATATTGTTACCATAGTGCAGTTGGCCTGCACTATACTTGTAGGTACATTTTTATTTATTTAAACAACTTTTACACCGTGTTAAACAGTGAGCTCTATTAGTTGTTTTTATATATCCGTTTTCCTGAGAGTTGGACACCATTCCCTCTGGAGGACAATCATCCATTTATCCCATAAGCGGGGATTGTTCCACTGTACGCCTGTTATACCTGAGCTGGCTATAGCTCATTTAAATGTGAGTGGAATATTTATATCTTTACCTCACATATATTGACCCTTACACTCTATACAATTGGTCTCTTATCCTGTGTCTTCCATATCACGAAACCAACTGGACTAGTATAAACAGAGAAGAGACCCCATCACCAAAAGCACCTTAAAAGACCTCTATTGCCACAGTGCAACTTCTAAATCTTTTTGGACTATTTTCTATATTTTATTTTATTTTGCACTTTTATATAAGTCTTATTTATATGCCTTTTTACTATCTGTAGTCCACATTAATACATTTTGGCGCAGCCTTGCATTACTGTTGTTGTTGTTGTTGTTTTCCAGTATACCTGCATAGTAGTGTTAGTCACATTATGCAACCAAAAATGGTGACAATTTAGAATACTTTTAAAAACACTGTTAACAAATTGTAACAGATTTTGGCGAACCGACTCCTAGGGTACTTTTCAGAACACTTCGTACAAAAAGTAGACAGAGAACGTATTAAAAAAAAAAACAACCACTTAGTTCTTTACTCAAAAATGAAAGATACAGCAAAGTTATCTATAAACCACTGGTGGTAAATGATATCCATTACAACAAAATTAAATACTGATCAAAGTCAAAAAAGATTAGTTGAATGTAATAATAAACCTCTATTTCGTCAAAACATGCAATTATTGAAATAGTTAATTATATTTAGAATGATGGATTAAACAAATTATATGGAATAGATAAAATACCTGTGTCATGACAAATGTAATAGAACTAAGTCATAAGATCTAAAGTGGCCAGTCTATACCTTGGCACCTAAACAAAATAATCTGGTAAATCATGTATGTCTTTTGTGTCCTGTAAGCAAGAATACAAACAAAGAAAAAATGAACCCAAAAACTAATGGCTTCCAAGAAATGTAATTGAATTGACTGAAACATTCAATCAAACATCTGAAACCCTGAAATAATGGGTCTTTCAAGAGGGGACCACTCTAAGATTATGTACCAAAGGAAGATGGATGTTATTGCTTATTAAACGTTTATAGTTTGCAGTTTCACATGAAATATGTCCACCAAGTATCAACCCAAGAGATTAACCTTAATGGGAAATTCCACTATCCTGTAAGTGTATGTATGTGTGTGTGTCTGAATGTGTGTGTGTATATGTATGTATGTGTGTGTCTATATGTATGAGTCTGCAAGTGTATCGGTTTGTCTGCATGTGTAGGGGGGTGGGGACGAATGGGGTGGGACGTTGATGTATGGGGAGCTCCAGTGCAATTTTCGCACAGGGGCCCCATGGTTTCAAGTTACGCCTTTGTTTGTTAGTCTTTTGCTGTTATTCCTTCAATCCTCCACTAGTCCTTATACCAGATGTGCAGAATATAGTGAAAGTATTCCCTTTGTGTAGAGTTTCCGTGTAGCGTTTCCCCAATGTAATGGTCGCAACCAGTCGTATTGGGTAAAAGCAGCAATCTGAACTTTATTAGGCCACACTTGGCTTTTTATGCCGTGACCCTAGCACAGAGTTTCTAATACAAAATCACAGGGGTTTCCTTCCCACAAGCCATTGTGTTTGAGAGATAATTGAGCTCCAATTAAGCTAATCCAATTATCTCTCAAATAGGAAAATTTACATACAATTTTTACATATCACAAAAATACATGACAACAGCATCAGAACCCCACAAAAATGATATTCACGAATAGCCCTGATCTGAGCGCATAACATATCCAAAAAGCGCTCAGATCGGTTTGGTAAAACAAAAGTTATGTTTGTGCATATATGAACGGACTGCCTGGTAGAGGTGGTATTGTCAATTTTAAAAAGGGTTAATTTGATTGTATGGGAGGTCAGAGCTTACAACCTAAATTCTTCTCTGAAGCTCTGTAAGGTGTCAGAAGTCACACGTAAGTGGCCTGGAAGTTTGGTTTCAGTATGTCTTGATTTGGTTTTCATATGTCTTGATTCCCTCTTAGATAATGTTATGCTATATCCTTTTATATGAACAAGCATTGTGTTCCAATATCACATCCAAAAGAGACATTAATACCTATCCACAGATTAAAACTCAAGCCTCATTTTTATAAAGAATGGGACAAACACAATTTTCCAAACAAGCCTTGTGAAGATCTCCCTCTTTATGTGTACTCTTTCTTCCATATCCATTCGGTAGATATAACTACCGAACAGAGACCACCCCCTGGCTCGTTAAACTTCAAAGAATGCTTCAATTGAACCCTCTATCTGTGCGGCCAGCGTTCGTACTACCAAATGCCACGTGGCTGAGAAAACGGTGGCCATCTTTTTTTAGGCGAACAAAGGCAGCGGCACTTGGTCGTCGAGTGTCTGGAACTAAAATCGGACACTCAACTTCCCGAACACCGGTCTCAACAAGTGAACGCTGGATCTCTATTTCCCGAATAGTTAGAATAGCGCTATTCGGTACTTTTGTGCATTCAAATGAGGGTAACAATCGCTGCTAAGAGCCAGGGGAATCCATTCGTGGAATTATTCAGTTTTTGCAACTTAACTGAATAAGACCGGCAAAACCACCCAAACTCCTGGAACTGTTTTGGGCAGCCACCTCGCGGTTAGCCGGTCACAAATGACTTCCACACTTTTTGAGAACCCCTGAACCGATCTGGGTGAAATTTGAATATGTTGGTCACCCAGATCGGGGCTATCAGGGGACATATTATTTGTGGGGATACCCCATGTATAAAGGGGTGTTCTGGATATTGGGGAAATTTTGATTTTTCTGCCTGGAGATAATCAAGTTATTACTTTATCAGACTTGATTATCTCCAGAACTAGGGGAGGGAATTGTATATTTGTGCTGGGTGTGTTTTACTGTTTTCCTGTAACTGATTGGTTATACTGTGTCCCTCTGTGTGGGATGTCCCCTTGCATGGGTGTGTTGTCATTAAAAGCCAGTTCTGTTGTGCCCTTCTTCTTGACTTCGGCTGATGTTTGGGGATTCGTATGCTTTATTAAGGGAATTATCTTGTAAAGCTATTTGTATTCGTATGGATTTCATCTATTCTATCTACCGAATGGAGAGCTATACTCACTGATGCTCTGGCGCTTCGGGAGGAAACTACCGAATGAGGATTGAATATACTAGGTTTCCTTAAAAGCCTAAACATGACTTGCGAACAAAGAGACCCCACAGAATCTGGTAACTGAACAGAAGGGAACAATTCCATTTGAATGCAGGAAACATTAGACGATACAAAGTATAATTAAGGGAACACTGTGGCGAAACCAACCTCGCCATTGTACACTGGAGAAGCCTGGTTGCTCGCCTGCTCCATTTAGACTATGGCCCTGCAGTTCAGACCTGTTATTTTCCCTGCTGAAAGGTTTATTCATGCCTTTCTGCCAGGGGGTTCGGTAGATTCAATCTACCGAACAAACTACCGAACAATGGACCACCTGGGAACTGGAGTGTGCCGTCAATTGACCGCCCAGAAGCTGCGGTTAACCGCAGTTTAATTGATGAACGCTGGGAGGCCTTTGTTCTGTTGCCGAACACGTGGCAGCGGCCATTTTACCTCCCGAACAGCCAGCGGTGTTCAGCGCCTAAACAATGGAACTGAAAACGGACACTTAATTGCGCGAACACCGCTGAGCCGCCAGCCTCCTTCCCTTCCCATTCGAGAGCTGAACCGAATGACTGTTCATTCGGTAGTTTAACCGGATGAACAGCATCACCCAGATAGCTAAGCCATGGAGCCTGTTCATGTAACGAAAAGACTATGTGAAGGACTTTGGCTCCATGGCGATTGAACTGTATGTATGTGATCTGAGCGCCATTCGGTAATAATGTGCGCTCAGATCTGAGCTATCTGGGGATATGTAGAACGTATATGTTTTATGTACTGAATGTAACTGTATGTAATTTTATGTATTTTACTGTTTGTTTTCTGCCATGTGGTTAATGGAGTTTTGCCTCTGTCTTTGGAGATAATTGGATTACTTCCCAATTATCTCCAGGGCAGAGAGGAGGGATTGTGATGCATTGTGGGATGGTTGAAATGTGTAAGTCTGTGATTGGTCCTTTTTCCCTTTGTGTCCCAGTCTCCCATTTGGTCCCCTAGGGGAGTGTCCACCAGGTGGGAGACCTGCATAAAAGCCAGGCAGTTAGCCCCAGTAAATCAGTTCCTGCTTAACACTCAAAGTGAAGTGCCGTCTCATTATTGGGGGGAGGATTTACTGTATGCTGTTAGAGACTGATTGCCAGGAGTGTAAGCCACTTGGGGTCTTTTCCTGTTCGTCTGCTAGCAGCTATTCGTGTGTCTCCAGTTCGGGAGTTTGGAGTGCTACTTGGTATGCAGTCGGGAGTTTCGAGTATTCCCTTGGTTGCAGTTTGGGTGTTGGTGAATTCGTGGGTTTGCAGTTCGGGAGATTGGTGCTTGCAGTAGCTGTCTGTGCAGCTGAAAAAGGGGAATATCGCCTAAACGGTTTTTAACCTCTTGTGGGCAAAACGGTCCGTTACAAACACATACGAGGAGTCCCATCTCCTGTGACAGGGCTTAGGTGGCATAGCATGCCCTGTGGATTTTAATCTGCAAGCCCTATATATTACCCTGTAACTCTCCAAAACACAATAAAACCTGTACATGAGAGGTACTGTTTTACTTGTGAGACTTTGTTGAACATGAGTGTTTTAAAACAGTAAAACCTATAATGAAGATATCATCAGTGAAAATGCAGTTTGTTTGTTATATTCTTGGTTGTCTACTTTTGCAAATGGTATGCCATGATGGGGGGTAATACTCATTCGTGGGCTGCCATATAGTTTCAAGGTCAACACAGGCCCAGCAAACCAATGCAGCAAACTAAAATGGGCAAGCCCTATATTTGACCATGTAACTTTACAAAACACCATAAAACCTATACATAGATGGTTCTTTTGCACTCCTGAGACATCGCTGAACACAAATATGAGTGTTTTAGAGCAGTAAAATGTATAATGACAATGATATGAACAGTGAAAGGGCAGTTGTTTGTAAAAAATGTAAAAACCAAATATGAACGCTAACTTTGGCCAGGGTATATGACTAAGTGGCTACAAAAAAAAAAAAAACGGGTCATTTTGAATACCTTTGCTTGTCTGCTTTTGCAAATAGTATGCCATGATGGGGATCATTTTCATTCCTGGGCTGCCATACAGTCTCAAGAGCAACATGACCAATTTGGTAAATTTTTAATGTGTAAAAACTAAACTGGACAAGCCCTTGCACCTTAAACCAAAATGATTTATCTGACAGATCAAGGGATTACTCTGTACTTTCATCCCACGTGCAATCCTGTGAGTTTGTTTCATTTTGGGAGGACTATTCGGATTATTTTATTTTTAGTTCATTAGTGTTTTTGTGTATATTGCACCTTTTATATTTTTTTATATTTATATATTATTCAAATAAAGGGCATCACACTATAGTAGCTTTTTCCTTTGTGATTTTTAAGGCCATATTTACTAAACTGCAAATTCAAAGAGTACCAATTACATCTGGTAAAGCCTTAAGTTGACAAAAGATGGAGCTGCACTGTCAACTTTTGTACAAGCCCACCAACCACCACAAATGACAGCTGTGGGATTCAGGCTCTGTCTGTGGAGGGTTTAGCGGGCTCCTCCATAGACCTTTAAGCTTTGCCCTTTCGAGCATTTGCAATAGTAGAAGACTGACATGGCTCCTGGCAACTGAAACACCTGGAGCCGAAGAGGGCCTTTAGCATGAAGATGACAGTGGCAGCAAGGAACAGCCTGAGGTAAGTAAAACTCATCTCTCTGTGGCCAACGGACCCACACCATATCTGTCCATTTCGGGTGATCCATTTTGAGTGTGGCAGTAGTTTGAACTTACAACCTTTACCACCCGCCTTATGGTACTTTACTATTTTGTATGCACGGTAGTCCACATATTCTTATAAACTTTTTGCAACTATCTCTCTGTGTGACAATTGTCAATAACCCACCCCCAGGACAGTGGTTCCCAACCCAGTCCTCTAATACCCCCTAACAGTCCAGGATTTAGGCAGGGGCGTACCTAGAGCACTTGGCACCCGTGGCGCATACTGTGCTTGACACCTTCCCCTCCCTCACCCCCAAGTCCAAACCCACCCCCCCCCCAAAAAAACCACAATAAATGTTTTTTTTTTTTATTTAACTGTATTGAACCAATTTGTAATCTTTGCAAAACCCATGTCCTGCCCCGTCTACAAAACCCCTGCAACTCCCTTCCACAAATCCCCTGCTCAGCCCCCCTTATAAGGACTCCTGTCCCAATACAAAAACCCCGCCCCCTTCTACAAAATCCCTGCACCCCCACACACACAGTTACAAGCAGTCACACACAGTTACAGACAGACAGTCACACCACACACGCAGTCAGTTACAGGCAGTCACACACAGTCGTAACCAGGCAGTCACGCACATAGCAACAGGCAGACAGTCACATATACATTCAAACACACACACACTTGGTCATAGACAGTCACCCACCCACACAGTTACAGTCACAGTCACACACACACACAGTTATAGGCAGACTGTCACACGCACACAGTCACAGACAAATAGTCACACATGGTTAAAGCCAACGTCACACACACACAGTCACATGCAGTCACACATACACAGTTATAGGCAGACAGTTACACACAGTCGTAGCCAGTCACGCACACTGTTACAGGCAGACAGTCACACACACCTACAGGCATGCAGTCACACACACAGTTACAGGCAGACAGGTACACACAGTCACAGGCAGTCACACACAGTTACAGGCAGAGAGTCACACACACACACACTCACATACACAGTTACAGGCAGATAGCCACACACACACTCTCTCTCTCTCTCTTTTACTTACAGAGAGTGTGGACTGGAGAAGGGGTGGATTCAATGAAGTCCTTCCCTGGAGCCTGTTAGTTGGAGAAGCAGGGATTCCTTTTTGCTTCACCTCCATGTGTAGCAGTAACAGCACCGGGTAAGGGCCATATTATGCCCCTCCCCTGCTACCGGTTTGGCTCTGCCACTGACTTTTCTTAGCTCCGAGCTCACTTTCCTTCCATGCGGCCAGTTCAGCTGGTCTCTGCGTTGTGAGCTGTTCCTGCCGCCCGGCACCCTAACTACCATGGGGCACTGTGGACACACATCCCCCATCAGCCCCCAGACCAGGGTCATGGCAACCCGTACCTGGTGGTGGCACCGAGGCTGACCGCCCCCATCCCACCTTAGTATGCCACTGCATTAGGGAATGACCAGTTGTGTCTAAGGTACTTCTAGAAAGAATAAAAAACTTTAGACACAACAGGGTAATCCCTAAATTCTGGCGTATTGTGGGGTACTTGAAGATGAAGTTGGGAACCACTGCTCTAGGATATAGTTTTGCGCTCATTCATGATGGTATTGGCTAAAATGCTAAATTCTTGCTCCACTTCTTTATTAAACAATTCAATGGCATTACCCCTGGAATGTGTGGAAACTACATTTATTCATGAAGTTGTTTCATAACACAATACCTATACCTGTTACGTTTGTAAAGCTCCAATTACTTTGATGTAGCAAAGAATCTAGTGGAAAGAGATCATGCTGTTCATTCAAAGAGAGGTTAGATTGACACTTACTGGACACAGAGAAAATACAATCAAATCAAAGAAAACTAATCAAATTCCTGTTATTCCACGCCAAAACAAATCGATCCATCCAGGATTTACGTGATGGATCAATGCCTTTCGGTGTAGATTAACAAGTGTCCCTTTAATTATCATCACTGTCAAATTTTCTATGTGAAAAAACTAAAGTGGGGGGGCGGAGCTTGGCCACCATGTCGAGCAGTTGCATGAGACACGAGCTCTGCAATTAATCGTCTAAATCACCAACAATTAATCCACCCCGACTGCACAAAACGTTTTGAACTGATACCTGGAGGAGCCTGACTGTTGCAGGGATCCCTGAAGCAGCTTGCATCCATCTGCCACAGTAGAGACCTGAGCAGGTTGCCTTGCGGCCTAGAGTGGTACAAGTGGTACAAGTTACGACCGAACTCACCGGCGGAACAATGTGGGTCGATCTGCGGCTCAGTCCTGTACCCCCCTCCTTCTGGACCAGTGTGTCACTAACCTGAACCAAAGTCTGTACCCTGCTAAGATGGCAGACGCTTCTGAGCCTCTTGTGAGCTCCACTAAACAGATCAGGTGGGCTCCCCATAGCTCAGTGGAGCATATCCTGCAGAGGCTCAACGACATCTTTACACGCTACTGGACTGAGCTAGAGAGTCACATGACAACAAACCCACAGCAGCCTCAAGAGGGAGATTGGAGGAGAGTGAGTCAGGAGGTGAAAGGATTTCCTATGGGCAAAGCAACTCCCAAGCTTTCGGTCTCACCCGACGCTAGCCCACCCGGGCCAAAGGCAACCAGGAGCTCGACCCCAAGGCATCGATCGCACAGGTGAAGGGCTGTGCGCTGCTGACGGCACACGACCATCAAGACCATCCGTTTCCCCCAACGTGGGAAGGACTGGGACTGGAGAGCAAAAAATGGGTCGCAAGAGTATTCTGAGGACGGACAGCAGCTAAAATAGCCTGCCCTTCGGTGGGTCCCCGCTCAGAACTCAAGCTGGTTTTATCAGACTGATCCCACCCATACGGGCAGTCCAGATCCAAAATGCCAGCAAGTTCCCTCTGCACAGGAGACATAGCAACCCCAGCTACCTCTTTATAAATGGATCATTCGAAAGTATGATCTCAATATGACCTAGTAGTGAATAATCTAATGAAATAGTATCAAGTACTTTGGTAGTAATTGTACAGTACAATGTATCCCTAGAGGTTGTAACACTTCACGATCTCAAATAAGAT